TGACACGCTCAGAAACTACAGACAGAGAGAACTCCGATTCCCCTCACTCGTCTTCTGGAAATTGTCTTCTCCATCCGTGTGTTAGCTTCACCTTCTGTCAAATACAGACAAGAAGGATACAAGGAAAGCGACTTCAAATCCTTCACCACAGGGAGACCTGGAGAACTGCAAGCCTCTCCAAACATCTCAGAAGCCAAACGGCCAACCCTTGCCATCCAGACACATGACTTCACGTCCGATGGAGACGGTGGGTTTCGCCGTTCTACCCGCACACATCTTGGCATCTGCCATGGAGGAGTTTCCCCAGCAGCTACCCATCCCCAAGTGTCTGGCTCGGGGCCGAAACCGTCCCCGGCGGCCCCGAGACACCCGCTTCAAGACCCAGCCAGTGACTTTTGCTGAGATTGCCGAAGTGGAGGAGGAAGGGGCTTCGCCTCTGGAGGAAGAAAGGGCGAGACGGTCCTTCCTTCAGTCGCTGGAGAGCCTCAGGAGAAGCACACAGACTTTGCACCACGCAGGATCCACACAGAGCTGCCGCACAGCGTCTGCACAGGCTAGTCTGGACTCCAGTGACTCAGACTCGGCACAATGAGAGAGTGAGAGCAAGGTCTGAAGGATGACAAGACTGGAACTCAATGTATTTCGCACATATCTTACTGTTAAATTCCTCTTTCACAGCCGTTCACAGCAGTTATGCATTTATGGGCAGATTCCAGTTGAGTAACACTGGCACAGCGATTGTTTAGCTCCTCTGCAAAGAGCAAAGTTGTAGCATGCTGGAAGATTTCAGAAACCACTTAAATGCTTACGCAAATTCCTTTTTTTATTGTATGAGACTCGAGGACTGGTGAGGTTTCATCTGTAATGAACTTGACAAGAGAGGACGTACCATGTCTGATTCCATTTTAATAGACTAATGTTATTCGTATCCCTTGTGCCTGCTTAAGATTGCACAGTTGAATGGGTTCTTCACTGCTGGGCTGGATGTAGACTGTCACATTTTGTTATAACTCATTGCTGTGCTGACGAGCAAACTAAAACAGAGATGTATTTTTACAGAAAATAAGGCAAACCCTGATGTCTAAGTCTGCCAGAATGGTGAACTTACTAATG